CCACTTATATACTGAGCATGACGCCACATGGTATGGAATAGCCCATTGGACAGTTTGGATCAACTATTCTGGCTGTGCCCCCTCCCCGTTTCTTGTGCACCTGGCAGAGCATGGGAAGCTGAGAAAGTCCTTGACTAGCATAAGCAGTACTTAGCAACAACTAACACATCAGCGTGTTATCAACATTACACTATACTAAATCCAAACCACAGCACTATGCCAGCTACTAGGAAGAAAATTAACTCTATCCCAGCTGAAACCAGGGCAGTGAGCAGAGAGTTAGCTACAGGCAGCTCTTTAGTAAGAGGAGATGCTGTGATAGATGAAGGAATGGGAGGAACACTGTCTTTGTATACTATTAAAGGTTCTTAAATTCAATAGTAACATCATTACTGCATATGGAGGCCATTTTGTTTAAAAAGTAATGCTGCCAATTTGGAGGTCCTGAGTAAAAAAGTAAGAAGAAATTAAAGAAAAGGACATAAATACGTATCTGTTTAAAAAAGGGGTCATGGAGAATTTGTGTGTATTTCAAATAGTTGCATTTTGATCAACAATTTTAATTTTATTATTTGCTTTTTCAGTTGCATTCTCTTTGGTTGAATGGGAGGAAAGAATCCTGTTTTATTATTAAACCTGCTTTTGCATTTTGGGTTTTGTTAGTGTCATTACTATTAAGACATGAACCGGAAACAATTTATTTATAACGTTGCTATCTAATATGCCAAATCTATCTCTTTTTTTTTTTTCTTAAGTAATAAAGTGCTTTTCATTAAGGTATATTAGAACTGGATTAAAATCCATTAATTCTTTGGAGAATTTAATTAATTTTTAGTTTTACTTGTAACTTGATATCAAACTTAGTTACTAAAGAGTTCAATACTTTTCATGCAGTTTGACTGTACATGACTATACAAATGGCATTATAAAAGCCTGGAAAATATGCAGAATTAATATCTACTATAGATGTTTTGCACATTCTTTTTCAATAGGAAAAATAGTGAGATAAACTAAGCTTCCCAATTTATAAGAAGTTCAGGGCTTTATCCAAAATCTGCTGAAGTGAGTAGAGGGTTAGGTGATGATCTCGGTTTGCTTTGGTTAAGGGCCTAACTACAGTGACTTGAAAAAAATTCAGGTTTTTTAATTGTGCTTTTGCACCTTATTTCTATTTATCATTGGCATGACATTTTAGAAAATATGTTGTGCTGGTACAGAGTGGGTTTTAATAGGCCTCATCCATTAGTCATCATCAATGGAAAACAAAGAACCTGTGATTGAAGGCTAAGCCTCTTGAGAAGAGGAAAAAAAGGAAGCAAAATACCATTGCAAGATTCTAAAAGATTGAAAATTCTAGATTTATAAAAAGACCATTTTGAAAATTTTATTAAGTTCTTTATGTCTACAATATATACTCATAATGTTGGGCATCCATAGTGTGCAAAATTCTGTTTATTGGTATATGGATTTGAAAAATGTACAAGTTCTTCTGCATATGCTCTATTCATTATTTATTCATACTAGCAATTTATGGGACATGTAATGTGGAAAGTTAGACGCATCTATCTATAATAGATACAGAATGTCTCTGGTCAGACTCGTTTGTCTTTAATTACAGAACAACAAAGAATATCATAGAATTCCTCTGGTGAACAGTGGCATATTTACTCAACTTTGTCTTTTAATATTGAAAAAAAAGCAAGCAAGAATTACCTGTAGAAGTGACCTAAAACCTCTATAATTCTTGTTAAACTTTGATCTTGGTATCTGCTGCGATCTTTCTTTATGGAAGAATACATTAATGGCATTCCTACCAGTTTTTCATCTCAGTAACAGGAATATGACTAGGAAGAATATCTGTCTAGCAAATAACTTTGTTTTCCGCCACTGTGCACGTGAAAAAGAAATTTTCGTAAATAGCCATACACTCTGTAGCATAGCACTATGAAGTGATTGCTACATTTCCGATCAAATATGTAGTCATGTGCTTGCTGAATATATATTCTGCATTTTATAGCTACCAGGAAAGCATTAATTTATAAAACTTCAGAATAGCCTCAATGACACCACTGGGCATTTATCTTGTTAAATCTCTGCCAAAACATGTGCTCCTGATTACAGGGAATTTGATTCAATGTTGAAATTGTGGAAGAGGATTATTTAC